CCCCAAAACCCCAAAACCCCAAAACCCCAAAACCCCTAGAAAAATGAATCAAATTGAATTAAGCAAAAACTTAAATGGAAACAAAGCGTATGACTGTCTATAAAGCTAAGCACAGGAGATGCCTTAGCCCAGCTCATTTTGACAGAAAATGAATGAAGACAAGAAGACTGAGAGACATGACTGACACAGCCAGTACTCTCAAAACTACCGATTACGAACGTCTCAGAAGCATGCTCCACAAGAACAAAATTGATCGAGATGCTCTAAACGGTTCGAAAAGAGTTAGGAACACAAGATTGCTTCATGATTTGCACCAGAAGCATAGAATCAGACCTTTATCCTCAGAGCCAGCTTCCTTTATATTCCCCTCTAGAAGAGGGACTATAAACCCCAAGGAGGAGAGAGCTATTAAAAAGACTTTAAACCTCATTCGTGCAGTACACGATATCCATGAAAACATTAAAGAGATAGCTAAGTTTAGGGTCAGAATTTCAAAGCAGCAAAGACTTCAGTCTCCACGCCTCTTAAGGATGATCGCTAAAAAGTTAGGAGTGTTGACTCCTAAGCATGGCGGTGACATAAACCAAGGAAGCTTTATGTAAACTCTACCTTAATTATTCATAAATTATCCCTTGACCATAAAATCTTTTGTATAACTTTCACTATCTCTACTGTTTCTATACTGTACCCCTATTAAGCATCGCCTTATAGCCCGAGGGTGGTCTTTAATGGAGAACTATAGGCACGCTCTCCTGCAAATAATTTTGTCATAAGTATAGTCTCTCAGGTATAATCCATTCTAAGTACTCACATCCTAGGTATGAGTATTCTTAAAGACGATTATTTTCATATAACACATTTTTATAAGAAAAGAAGGTGACATTAGATCAAAAATTCTGGAAACACACTTGTTGGAGGAGGTAAAGCTATTAGTATTTAATCAGGTTTTATACATTATAACTCACAGAGGATAAATCGCTCAATGATGGGTGCCGCTTTGGGTCCCTACATTCCTAACTTTTGCTGATCATGAATAAAGTATTTCATGGTGATATAGAGAAAATATTTGGCTATTAACGTAAAAAGTTTAGATTAAAATTTTTGATCTCATCTAAAAGTACCTGCTTGGTTTATTTAACCTGGCCTGAGATAAAAATTTGATATATAATTTGCTTACAGAGACCAGCTGAGCATTAACTTGTGTCCTTCTTTAATTGAAAGTGAGATAATATATTTCTAGAATATTTCGCCATTTTTCACTAGTATAGCTCACCTTCAAAACATTTCAAATTTGCGACTAAAATTTCTATGTTAATACATAGATGTGCGCATAATCTAACGACATCAATACGCCTTCATAATTAGGCTGAACTCCATACTATACGCTCTCTATAAAATCTCTAATCCCCCATTTCACAGCTACAATAATACTTAATACTTAACAAACCTCTACTCCAAAATTCCCAAAACTTCCCTAAATTTCCATACCCCAACTCATCTTACTCTCCCCCACCCATCACCTTACTAAAACTACCAATAAATTTCTTCCTAATTTCCATCACCCTCAGTTTCTTCCCGCTATTTCATAAGTTCTAAAAGCCACAAATTGTTTTAACTATTTTACAGTTTACCATATGGTGAAAGCAGGTTATAATGAAGTGGCTGATTGGTGGTTATTGGGGGGACAAGTAGTGGGAGGGGGAGAGAGAGAGTGGGAGAGGAAGAGACTTTGGGGTGAGGGGGTGAGAGGATGAGAGGGGATTTTAGGGGGATGGTTAGGTATGTGAGGGGAGATAGGGGAGGTGGGAAGTGGTAAGGTGAGATGGAGAGGGGATAGGGGAGAGGAATGGGGTAAGGGAGATGAGCTATTTGGGGTTCAAGTGGGTTTTTGGTATGGAGGAGATGTTAGGAATGGAGAGGGAGTAGTTTTATGGAGTGAAAGTGTAAGAAAGATGGTAAGGATGAAAATTTTGAGCAGGCTGGTTTTTATAGGTATAAAAAATCGGCTTTGGAAGACTTGTAGAGAAGAGAGCAACGAGAAAGATTATATTACTTTTTATTTCTAACAAATATTTAATAGGGATTTTGATGAAATTTTCAATTTTGGGACCTACATTTGGGGTTTTGGGGTTTTGGGGTTTTGGGGTTTTGGGG